AGCCAATTTACACGTTTTTAAAAACTCGGTTGAATGTGATTTAAATCTCTAATAAAATTTTTAAATCTGATTCTTTTTAAAATCCCCTTACAAAAAGCTGTGAATTGCTTGATTGTGTAGTGTGTTTTCGAGGAAAAAATAATACATGCAGTGTGGGCGTGTGGCTCAGGAGGCAATGATTTATGGCGCAACGATTTTTGGGATGATCAGTTTGACTTTACAAAGCATTTCAGGATTGTGCTTTGGAAAAATATTCATTGATTTTTTTTTCTTCCCACTGCCCCTTTTGACAGAGCTTTCTTTGTTTCCTGCGACAAAGCGGGGGCCTCCTCAAAGCGAACGAGGTGCCAGCATGGATTTGATAAAGTCAGTCCAAACATGACCTTTGAAATATGAAATGCTGGAAACTGTCCATCACAATATTTGTCGTAGCAAAAGGTGGCACCTTCAAATAGCTCATTTAGTTTGTAGTACCTCAATAACAATAGTGTCTGTTTTGCAGGGAAAACAATTTTAAATCATTACTGCAGAATAAACCAACATCTCCCTACATAAATTCCGGATAAACTTAGATTTATTCCATTGGACATATTAAGCAACTCATGCTGTGTCTATTTATTGGTTGAGATATCTTTCTTTTGTTAAATAAACACTGTAAATATTGTATTCACACTATTAGCATGCTAGCTTCTGGTGTTTGTAAAACTCTGTCGGTCTTGTACAAACATGAGATGAGATGTGCTTGAACGCTTTGAGATAACATCATTCCAAAAAATGCTTTGATAATGGTTATCTATCACTCAACAGCAAACGGGTGGACAGATCAAGGTAGCCCCCGTTAGCATGTCTCCTCAATAAGAAATGTATCCTCAAAGAAAAGCAGGTTTGTTTTCCTATGATTTCACCTCTAGTAAATATGAACAACCACCCATAGAAGGTGTCTTTAACCACTGTGATTAGTTGCTGATGATAGCAGACACATTACCAACATGTGGAACCTCCCTGTAAAAGCAGAGTTGTGTTGTTCAACGTCAACAAAATACCCTCTGGGTTCGTTCTTCAGCATGACCGTTACGTTCAGTAAAAATGGAGAGTCCCTGCTTGGGAAGATGGACGCAAACCGGTGTCGTTCTTTTTGAGAAAGACGCCCAGAGAGGGTATAGGCGGGAGCCATGCGGTTAGCTTTAAAGCGGCAACTGTGGCAAACGTAGAGGTTGACAGTGCAATCTGAGTCGTGCAGTTTAAAAAAAAGGTAATGGGATGCGGAAGCGGTCACACATCGCATCTGTGTGAGCGTGTTCCCGCTCAAGATCTGTCGCTATCTATTACTCTCACCGCCACACACAAACACACACTGATTATTCTCACTGTCACTCTGTTGTGTGACCAGAGAAAACAAAGCTTTCTCGGACACACG